TGCTTATTCACCCTCTTTGTCTTCAGCAGTTGTGTCGGGAAGGTGAGCATCATAGAATGCCAATTTAATAGAAGAAAGTATTCTTGCATTGAGGCAGTACTTGAGTGGAGGCCCAGTGTCCTTCTGCTACCTTAATACTAAACGTATAAATACATGCACATTCTTAATCTGCTTCCATGCCCTAAACATTTCATTTGTTTAACAACCATTGTATAGCATCCCCACATGCCACGGTTAGCTCTTGACAAATATTAACACCTTAAAATATCATAACAGTTATCAAAAACATTTTTCATTTTATTATTAGCCCTATTTCTCAGATTTATGTTGTTAAGTAGCTTCGAATTGGTTCCAGCTCATAGTGAACCTATGTACAATAGCACAAAATACTACTAGCTACAGTACAATCCTCACAATTACTATTATATTTGAGCTCAATCTTGCAGCCAATGGGTAAATCTCTTTGAGGATTTTCCTTTATTTTTCAATAATCCTCTACTAAACCAAGCATGATGTCTTTTTCCAGGGACTGGTTTCTCCTAATAATATGTCCAAAGCATGTGAGAGAAAGTTTCACCATTTTTGCATCTAAAGAGTATTCTGGTTGTACTTTTTCCAAGACAAATTTTTTTGCTCTTCTCAAAAGTCCTGCTATTTTCAATATTCTTCACAAATATCCTAATTCAAATACATCAAAATTTCTACAATCTTTCTCAATGTTCAACTTTCAAATATTTATGAGGCTACTGAAAATATCATGGCTTGAGTCAGTCACACATTAGTCCTCAAAGTGATGTCCTTGCTAATTAACTATTTAAATAGATCTTGTGCTGCACATTTGCCCAGTGTAATACATTGTTGAATTTCTTGACTGCTGCCTCCAACAGGGTTGCTTCCTGGTCCATGTAAAATGAGATCTTCAACTCCCTCAATCTTTTTTGCATTTATCTTGGTATCTATGGTTCTAGTTGTGAGAATTTTTGTTTTCTTTACATTGAGTTGTAATCCATACTGAAGCTACAATCTTTTATTTTCATCAACAAGTGCTTCTAGTTGTCCAAAAAGATTGTGTCATTTGTATATCATAGGTTGTTAAAAGGTCTTCCTCCAATTCTGATGAAGAATTCTTTATATAATCCAGATTCTTTTACTATCTACTCAGCTTATGGATTGAATAAGTATGATTAAAGCACATAACTCTTTTGAACCATCCTGTATTCCCTTGTTCTGTTCAAATGACTACTGCTTGGTCTGCGTACAGGATTCCCATAAACACAATGCAGTGTTCTGGAAATCCCATACTTCAAAATATTGTACATAGTCTGTTATGATCTGTATAGTCAAATGCCTTTGCATCATCAATAAAATACAAGAAACATCTTTCTGGTATTTTTTGCTTTCAACCAAGATTCAATTGGCATGAGCAATGACATTCCTCCTGCCACTCACTCTTCCAAATCTGGCTTGAATTTCTAGTAGCTGCCTGTAGATGGGCTGCTACATCAATTTCTTAATTATCTTTAGCAAATTGTTACTAGCATATGACATTAATGATATCGTGTAATTTCTACATTTCATTGAATCACCTTTCTTTGATATAGGCACAAATATAAATCTCTTCCACAAATTTCTTTGCATAAATTAGTAAAAGCTTCCAGCACCGGATCAGTTTGTTTTCAGTTGATATTCCATACTTTACTGCAATGTCGTTTGGGTTAATCACTTCAGTAAAGCTTGGAATACTTTCTTTGACACCATAGGCTGCTGATCACATGATATCTCTTGAAACATTTGAACATGTACAAAAAATTTTTTTGTACAATATCTATATATTCTTTCATCTTCTTTTGATCCTTCCTTCATCATTCACTATTTTACCCATGTTTCTGTTAGGTGCCATCTAGTTGGCACCAACCCATAAGGACCCTAAGCACAACATATCTAAACACTTCACTGTCCTGCATCATCCTAGGCATAGGAATAATGGTTCCTGTGCCTGAGCCCATAGATATAGCCACTGTGTCAATCCATCTTGTTGAGGGCCTTCCTCTTTTTCACCACCCCTCCACTTTATCAAACATTCTATACAATCCTCATAATTATTGTTATATTTTAGCCCATTCTGCAGGGACTGGTCTCTACTGACAACATGTCCAAAGTATTTAAGACAAAGTCTTGCCATCCTTAATTCTAAGGAGTACTCAGGTCTTACTTCTTCCAATGCAGATCAGTTGTCCTTTTAGCTGTCCATGGTGCTTTCAACATTGTTCTCCAGCACCACAATTTAAATGCATCTCTTCTTCTATGGTCTTCCGTATTCAGTGTCCACCTTTCACGTGCATATGATGCAATGGAGAGTACGATGGCTTGGGTCAGGTGCACCTTACTCCTCAAAGTAATATCCTTGCTCTTCAATACTCTAAAGAGCCCCTGTGCAACAGATTTACCTAATGTAATACGTCTTTTGATCTCTTGACTGCTGTTTCCATGAGTATTGGTTGTGGATCCAAGTAAGACGAAATCTTGGACAATTTCAGCCTTTTCTACATTTATCATATTGTTAACTATTGGTAAAGTTATGAGGATTATAGTGGTACTTACATTGAGTTATAATCCATACTGAAGGCTGTAATCCTTGATCTCTACCAGCAAGTGTTTCAAATCCTCTTCACTTTCAGCAAGAAAGGTTGTGTTATCTGCTTACTGCAGGTTGTTAAAATGCCTTCCTCCAATCCTGATGTCTCTCTCTTCTTCATATAATCCAGTTTCTCTTATATTGGCTTCAGGTGAAGGATACAACCTTAGTCACACCTTATGTGATTTTAAACCAGGCTGAAGGGCCTTGTTCTCTTCACACAACTGCCTCATGATCCAGGTTCAAGTTCCACAGGAGCACAATATATTGTTCTGGGACTCACGTTCTTCTTAAGGCTATCTATAGTTTCTTCTGATCTACACGTTGAATGCCTTTGCAAAGTCAATGAAGCGCAACACCTTTCTGGTATTCTTGGCTTTCAGCCATGATGCTAACATCAACATCAACGATGACATCTCTTGCTCCATGGCCACTTCTGAATCCAGCCGGAATGTCTGCCAGGTTTCTGTCAATGTTCTGATGCAACCATTGTTGGATGATCATCAACAAAGTTTTACTTGTTACACAAGGAGGTACCCACCAAAAAATTGATTTTTCCCCAAAGTTATGGTATTTAAATACTTTTACAAAACAACTTTATTACCTTCAAAGTATTCTCCATTACACTTAATACATTTGTCAAATCTGCGATTCCATGCTTGGAAATATTTTTCAAACTCATCTGTTTGGATAACTGGCAGCACCTCCCTCGTTTTTTTCTTCACCTATTCTACTTCATCAAATCACGATCCTTTCATGCCCCTCTGCATTCACAGAAACAAAAGGGAAAAAAAAGAAGTCATGCAGAGCAAAGTAAGGTGTCAGATGAGTCAGGTGCATCGGGCAAGAGAGGCATGCTGTTTTTTATTTCCAAAAACTGGTGCACCAAGATGGTTGCATGAGCAGATTCATTGTTGTGGTGGCAAAACCAGTCCCCTGTCTGCCACAAATCAGGCCTTTTTTGTTGCACACTGTTATGCAATCTTTTCAGAACCTTTAAATAGAAAACTTGATTAACAGTCTGACCTGATGGAACCCACTCCAAATGCACTATCCCCCACACATTAAAAAAAAAAAAAAAAGAGCATTGTCATGATCTTTGATTTCACTTGATGAGCTTTTTTGGGTGAGGTGACAATGGTGCCTTCCACTGACTTGATTGATGTTTGCTTTCAGGGTTGTAAGAATAGCACCATGTCTCGTCACCAGTAAAGACCTTGGAAAAAAGTCTGGGTCGATTCAGAGCTGTTCTTTCAAAACACAGCATGTTTCCACTTAACGCTCTTTTTCCTGATCAGTCAGAATCCAAGGCACAAATTTCACAGCGACCTTCTTATTCCCTAAACATCCATTAAAATTCATTGAACCTAGCTCCAAGAGAGTCCAGATAACTTCCGCATCTCTGCAATGGTCTGTTGTCAGTCTTCTAGCACAAGTGCATGAATCTTGTTGACATTTTCGTCTGTCCAAGAAGTTGACAGACGTCCAAATCGAGATTTTTAATCAATCGGCATTTCAGTACACTTGAGTTTTTCCCATGTGCTGTTCTTGTAAGCTGTGTTCAGCATCACAACAGTTTCTGCAGTATTTTTCCTGAGCAAGAAATTTCACAGCCTCACGCTGGTCTCTTAAATTGCCCATCACACAAAAAAAACGAGGTTTGAACAAAGCTGCTTTTACAAAAAATGCACTGTGACCAGAGAGAACCTTCCCTGGTGACGCCACTGGGTGCATTAAGTCAGAGCGAGTTGCTCGATGCTCACCTAGCAAGAAAATATGGGTACTATGAAAGCCCTTCCCAGTGAAGCTTTTTCCGTTTGGGTGGGAGTACCCCCTCATATGTGATATAAATGATATTCTATAACTTGAGCATTGTGTTGGACAACCATTTTTTGGAATATGTATAAATATGGATCTTTTCCATTCAGTTAGCCAAGTGGCTATCTTCCAAATTTCCTCGCATAGACTAGTGAGTTCTTCCAATGCTTCTTTAGCTTGTTGAAACATTTCAATTGGTATTCCATCAATTCCAGAAACTTTGTTTTTGGCCAATGCTTTCTGAACAGTTTGGACTTCTTCCTTCAGTACCATTGGTTGTTGTTCATATGCTAACTATTAAAATAGTTGAATGTCAACTAGTTCTTTTTAATATAGTGATTCTATGTATTCTTTCCATTTTCTTTTGGTGGTTCCTCCATCATTCGATATTTTCCCCATAGAATTTTTCAAGATTACAAATTAGGTTTGAATTTTTGTATAGTTCTTTCAGTTCAAGATATGCTGAGCATGTTCTTCCTTTTTTATTTTCTAACTCTAGGTCTTTGCACATTTCATTGTAATATTTTACTCTGTCCTTGAATTACCTTTTCAAATTTTCTGGTCAGCTCTTTGACTTCATAATTTCTTTCTTTTGCCCTAACTACATCTATAATTAAGGGCAGGTTTCAGAATCACTTCTGGCATTCACTTTGAACTTTTCTTTCCTCTCTTTTTAATGACCTTTTGCTTTCTTCATGAATAATGATCTTGATATTCTCCCATAGCTCATCAGGTTTTTTGTCATTAGTGTTCAGTGTATCAAATCTGTTCTTGAGATGTTCTAGACACCCAGGTGGTATAGACTAAAGGCTTGTTTTAATTTTCTTCAGCTTCAACCTGAACTTACATATGAACAATTGATAGTCTGTTCCTGACCTGATATTTCCGCTGATAATGAGTTTCTTCACTATCTCCTCCCATGGATATAGTCAGTTTGATTTCTATGCATACCATTTGGAAAATTTTATGTGTGTAGTCATTTTTGGTGTTGAAAAAATGAATTTCCTATGAATAAGTCATTGGTCATGATTAATTCTACCATGTAATGTCCAGCTTTGTTTTATCACCTATGCCTTACTGCCAACTGCTGCTGCTTCCTGGTCTCTAACATTTACATTCCAATTGCCAATAATTATCCATACATCTTGATTGCAAGTTTGATCAATTTCAGACTGAAGGCATTGGTACAATTCTTCAATTTCTGCATCACTATCTTTATTAATTTTAATAATAGTTGCATTGATTGGATTTCTTTGAATGTGGCTAGATACAACAATCCTATAACAGATGGCAGTGCATTTCAAGATAGTTCTTGAAATGTCCTTTTTGACACTGAATTCAATGCCATTTCTCTTGACTGTGTCATTGTCAACATAGTAAACCATATGCATTTCTGATTCAAAATGGCAAATGCTTGTCCATTTCAGCTCACTAATTCCTGGGATATCAATGTTTACACAATCTAGTTCATTTTTTACAACTTCTAATTTTCCTAGATTCATACTTTGTGCATTCTAAGTCCCAATTATCAGTAGATTTTGGCAGCTACTTCTTGTCATTTTGCATCATACCTCATTAACACATGAAGATCCCAAAGATTTTACTTCCCTCGGCCTGATTCCATTCACGTTGTCATGGTTGACTCTACTTTGAGTCTACTTTTAAGTAGGCAGCTCCTCTTCAGCCATATTTTGAGTGTCTTCTGGCCCGAGGGACTCATCTTCTGACACTATTGGATACAATGTTTTGCTTGTGTTCATTAGGCCTTCAGTATCTGATACTGCTCCAGTCCTTCTTTGTAGTCTGTCCTTAGTCTGGAAATTATACTGAAATATGTTCACTTTATATTTTTATTTTAATAAATCATTTTACTGGGGGCTCTTTCATCTCTTATAACAATCCATACATCCACTGGGTCAAGCACATTTGTACATATGTTGCCATCATCCTTTTCAAACATTTTCTTTCTACTTGACCCTTGGAATCACCTCATTTTTTTCCTTCTTCCCCCACCCTCCCAACCTCATGAATCCTTGATAAATTATACATTATTACTATTTTCATATCTTACACATCCGCTGTCTCAATATTTCTGTTGTTTGTCACCCTGGTGGGAGGGGGTAAAATGTTGATCATTGCGATTGGGTCCCCCTTTCACCACCCTTCTTCCCCCTACCCTCATGGTATCACTACTCACATTATTGGTGCTGAGGGGTTTAACTGTCCTGGATTACATGTGTTGAGCTCTTATCTATACCAGTGTACATGCTCTGGTCTAGCCGGATTTGTCAGGTAGAACTGAAACCGGTGCACTTTAAATGACCCAGCTGGCCCTTGAAGTACCAGTGACTTAACTTCCATCACCACAGCAACCTGCAGCACATGGTCCTTCTTTCTTTGAAAACAACCTAAATCAATAGTTTGAAAGCTATGAAATGCATACAGGTGTTCAGCTAAATGATGTAATACTAAAACTTGGAGAATTGTTGACACATGAATGGACGAGCAGTTGGCCAAGTGCTGGTGATGAGTAGCTTTCCTTTCCCCTTGTCTTGACCTGGAAATGGAGGGGGTTGGGGAAATAATGGGGGGTTTGTCAGCATTATAATGATTACATAAGTGAAACTACCTTCCGCAATTCCTTTGGTTAATAACTAAGGTAAATCTTTATAATTCTTTCACATTTTTATTATTTTATCCCAAGACATATACTAAACTCTGATTTTAAGAAACTATTACGGAATCTAAAAATATTCTATACTCGAATAGTTTTACTATTGAAATATCTGTTTTTGAGTTTTATTCTTCTTCTGTCCTCTAATCTCAGTTTACTGGAGAGAAAAAATATGAAATATTCTCCTTTAAATTATAGTAACTGTGTATATCCCTTTTCTTTCTAGGGTGATTCTGGTGGACCTCTCGTTAGTATGGATTCTAAAGGTACCTGGTTCCTTGCAGGTATTGTAAGCTGGGGAGATGAATGTGCTCTACCAAACAAGCCTGGAGTCTACACACGAGTGACACATTATCGAGATTGGATCTATTCTAAAACTGGTCTCTAATTCAGAAGTCCATTGTAGATTAAAGCCCACAATATATATATATATATCAATTCCCAAACCACATTTAATTTAGCAATGATCTGCCTTTGTGAAATTTAATGTGGATTATTTAGAGTGACACAATTTTAAACTATCAAAATTTTGTGTTTATTGGACATTGATAATAATTGGGTGTTCCAGACAATGGGTAAGGATATCGTTTCCAAAGGACCAATATATGGTATATCATCATTACAGTAGCTATGAAAAATACCCAGAAAATGTTTTCTTTGTAGTCTTTATGCCAATGATAATCCATTTTCTATTTATAATTTCCATCCCTTAAAAGACACAAATAGAAATGGAAATCTCATGAAGTGTAGATATAATAATAGATTATGATGCTTATGAATTAAAAAGTAAGACCAAAGGTGGAGAAGGCTGGAGTTTTCAAACTGCTGACCTTTTGTTTAGCAGCCCAGGACATAACCACTAAGCCACCAGGGCTCCTTGTGATGATATATGAAGTAGCATTATTGACATAATATATTGAAGCCATATATTAAAATGTGGACCATACGCTCAAGCATAGTTTTACTTTAGGTATGTGTTTATAAATGTGGTTTGGGATATATTATCATATTCTTAAAATTCTTTAACAATACAATTTACCAAACCAAATAAATAATACATAAATTTTGTTTCCATGTATTTCTACTTTTGTTCATACTGAAACATTCTAGTTGCTCATGAGGGGACCAAACCAAACTAAATTCACTGCCATCGAGTCCATGCAGGGTAATAGTGACCCTATAGGACATGGTGGATTTCTGAGACAGTAAGTCTTTTGGGGGTGGGTGGAGGAGTGATTAAACCTTTAAAAAAAAATAAAATAAAAAGAAAAAAAAACAAAACCCTGAAAAAATAAAAAAAAAACAAACAACCTAACAATTCAAGGAATAAGTTGGCGGAAAGGTGACAAGCCCCTTGTGGAAATAAGATGTCACTGAGGCAGGCACACCACACGCTACAGAGACCTTGGGCAGGGAGTGGTATTTGATAACAAGGGGCTGGCTCTCCTTTGCTCTTAAGGACTCACAGCTCTCCCTAACCCCTGAGTCATTCACTTTTTCTCCCCTGACTTCCCTATTGCCAAGAGACTGGTTAAACAGGCTTCTGTGAATACAGGGGCTAAGTAAGCAGTGGGACATGTTATCAGGAAAGAGCAATCTCTAAAAAAGAACATTACATTTGAAAGAGGGTCAACAAAAATGAGGAAACCTTCAATAAGATTGACTCCTACCACAATGGGTTTAGACACATCAGTGATCATAAAGATGGCACGGAACGAGGCTAGACTTTGTTATACAAAAGTTCAACATGAGTTGGGGCCAAGGCAATGGAAACTAACAAGTAAGCAAAACTGAGTTTATGAAAAACTAGATCTTTACAATCCAGTACAATTTTTTTCATTAAATATTCATCATTCATGCCTAAATACCAGTAGATATTACAATCAAACCCCCCTTTCTTCAAGGAGAAATGTCACTGCAAGATTGTCCTGTTACTCTACAGCACACAGCCCCAGGGTCCCCAAGAAGGAAGCTCTGCCACCCACAGCCAGTGAGACAGTCTCTCAAGGGTTTGCATAGTCTCTATGCTGAAAGACTCGATGTGTAAGAATCTCAAGAACAGAACATTTTGGCAGCCAGATGATGGCCAAATAATGTTTCAAAGTTCTTAACCCAGGAGGGAAGGATAGCAAGTAGAGTAAGGGTTTAGGAAGGGAGGGGTGTAACAGTGGTGGGGCTGGGTGGGAGTGGTAAATGGAAGCCAATTTTTTTAAGTTCAGGAAGGAAAATAATGTTTTAAAACTGACAGTAGTGCAGTAATGCTTGTGTGATTGAACAATGGGATGATATGAGATCTGTATTAACTCCCAATGAAATGGTTTTTTTAAAGTTCTTATCCAAACTACTCAGTCTCCCGACTTGACATCTGAATCAACTTCAGTCCCTTGTATATAAAACCAAACCAAGCAAAACAAAGACCTAGATATCTGTTTTTCACTTCTAAATTAGTGCTCTCGGATTTTGTTCTACAGTATATGGAAAATGGGGTGATGACCCTTCTTGCAAAGAGGAGGTTGACAAGAAACATAAATTATTTTCCGAAAAACTCCACCGGATCGCAGACAGTTTGGAAGAACTTGCCAGCCCGTTAGTATCTGTAAACTAAGGAAAATCTGGTGACTTGGGTCCAGCTCTGGCTTGATACATGAAGGGAGCTGTTCACTGCAAAGACATGGACCTACCACATGCAATTTAATCTCCTTTTAACTCTCGTACTATTTCCAACCCAAATCTTAGCACCAGTTTCCTCCACTTTACTTCCTGTGTATCAAAAGCTACAAGAGATTGTTCAGAGCCAGGTGACACATTCCCTAAACTTGCTCCCATCCTTCTTTTTTTTTATTATTCATAAAATTCATTTAGAAGACCCAATTCTTTCTTCTTTTTATATCAATTCCTGCCCTTATTCCCAGTGCCCACTGACACTGCCTTTTATTTTGCAATGCATGATAGCGACTCCTTTGTCTTCTTGGTCATGAATGGGATGAGGTGGGTGCTGTGATCAACCATCCACTTAATCACACAGCTCTCCCGCTGCTGCTTTGCCTGCAGTTGCTTCCCCCGTGCATCCATTGAGTCATTGACTTTGTCGTTGCAGTGCATTGCCATGCACCGGGCCACGCAGACCTGCAACCTCTCTCGTGGGCTAGTTCACCAGCATCTGGGCTTGTGGCCCTGGTGTGTGGCCACAAATGCACTGGTGTACTCGGGCACTGAGGCCAGATTGTCTTCACAACAACTGGCACTACACAGAATGTGATGCCCTGAGTCTTACAAATGTTCCCTCTCTCCAAATTCTTCACCATGGCGCCCATTGACTTCTGCACACAGAGCGGCTGCAGCTTCTCAAATGGTGACCCTGCCTTGCAGCCTCCCACGCCAGTGGGGCAAGAAGCCTTTACGAAAGTCAAAAGCTTCTCCTTCCTCCTGAATGAGGGCACAGGTCATTCTTGCCCTGCCTTTCTTCATGCTTACCTGTGGAATCTGCAAGTTAGTGGGCTTTTATCCAAAATATTACTTCACTAAAGTGCTTTCTCAGACTGCAGTCCTCTAGGCCACTCCTAACTCTATAAGAATTTATTCTTTTCATCACTAATAACCAATCCTACAGCTACTACTAATGATCTTCATTATAATATCCTTGTTTTCAGAGACCTCCAAACTGCATTAATAATAGCTAATATAGACTGAGCCCTTACTGTGTGCTGAGCACTGTTCCAAACACTTTATATTAAAAGTTCACAACACATCAATGAGGATGTTCCCTTAGTATTTCAATTTTATAAGCAACGAAACTGAGGGACCAAAAATGTGCATAAGACCCGAGAGATAGTAAGGACTGAGAGGAGATTCAACTCAGACCACCTGATTCCTGAGTGCACACTCCTAACAACTCTATGGTATCAAGTGATGTGGTTGTAATTTAAAATCTACCTACTATAGTAACCTAAAATGTAACATTAGTCATAAGTTTTATGGATGAATTAGTAAAATAAGCTACTTATGCTATTGTCTTTAAAATATTTAAACGTAAGTTATACATTTCTAAGTTTAACTAAAAGGTTCATGCATCTACATTTGACATAATTTAGGGCTCAAATGATGTCTCTATCTCTGTCCTATCTTAACCTTTCATCTGTCTTCATTTAAGGAGCAGGGGGTAAAAATAAGCTCACTAGTGACAACTAGATTATCTTTAAGGCTAAACTAACAGCCCCAAATAAAATTAAAACCCTCCTCCCACTGCTCCTGTTAAAAATGGAAGTCCTAAGGCGGTAGTTGATTGGCTCAACATGGAACATTATTGTTGTTAGGTCCTGTCCAGTCCTTGGTCATCCTCCTATCGATGCAGCCACTCTGTCAAGCCATCTTGTTGAAGTGCATCCTCTTTTCACTGCATGATGTCCTTCTCCAGAGGCTGATCTTTCCTGACAGAATGTGTAAAGGATGTAATACAGAGTCTTGCCATCCTTGCCTCTAAGGAGCATTCTGGTTGTACTTCTTTCAAGACAGGTGTGTTCATTTCTTTGGCAGTACATGGTTGTGTTAGGCTGGGTTGACTAGAGAAACCAATCCAGTGACACTCATGTATGAGTGTAAGAGAGAGTTTTAAATCAAGAAGTAATTATATACCAAGAAAACAGCCCAGCCCAGCCCAACCAAAGTCCAATACTAGTCCATAAGTCCCTCTTCTGACTCATGTAGCCACATGCAAAGATGCAGAATGTGGAAAGATTACGGATTTCACCAGTGGGTGAAAAGTCCTGGGTATCCAATGGCCATGGAAGCACAACAGGTCTCTGTCAGGTAGTGTGGCTCACCAACAGGAAGATAAAATCAGAGAGGTGCTGGGGTGGGGGGAGGTTCCCAGGACCCTTCTTATGAGAGGATCATACCAACAAGGAGGTACATCAGGCTGTGACCTGATGAGAGGCTAGACTCCACCCCTACACTTCTATATATGAAGCTGACATGCAATTATGGAACTACCACATAAGTACTTTCAATATTCTGGCAGCACCTTAATTCAAGTGCATTGATTCTTCCTTGGTTCCTTATTCAATGTTCAACTTTAACATGCATGTAAAGCAAAGAAAAAATACAAGGGCTTGGGTCAGGTGCACTTTAATCCTCAAAGTAACATATTTTTTTTCAACAATTTAAAGAGACGTACCCAATGCAATGCATCACTTGATCACTTGGCTGCTGCTTCTATGAGCATTGACTGTGGGTCCAAGAAAGACAAAATCCTTGGCAATTTCAATATTTTCTCTGTTTAGCGTAATGTTACCTCTTGGTCCAGTTGAAAATTTTGGTTTTCTTCAAATTGAGTTGTAATCCATACTGAAGGCTCTAATCCTGATGCCACATCAGTCTTCATATAATCAA